TAAATCTCTGGAGAAGCTCTTACAAATTCCTATGGAGAGAAAAGTATTTGAAACTAGAACTACAAAGGTGGTTTTGCTTTATTTAGCTTAGTGAGGTAGGAAGACAAGAGCAGCAATGGAGGAGGGGAAAGGGGGCATCTATAACACGGTGGAGCAATGGCCTAACAGAATTCTTGTCTTACTGCAATGACAGATGTCAGCTCCCTTGCTTTGTGGATCTAGGTTAATAAAATTTAAGTTGTATACTGAATTCACAGCACTCATCTGATAGTGATCATTTTGTTCTGGAGTTTGTACAAGATAGGTTAGAATAATACTAACATTTGGCCTGAAGGCAATCTTAACTCATGTTTCTATAAATTGATATACTGTGAAACAAGAAATCCTGCTTAATAGAAGGTTCTCTATCTGTGTCGAACATTATCCTCCAACTGTCTACTATTATTTTAAACTTAGGACATATTTCAAAAATTTAAGTCTAAATTTCAAAAATTAAGGAAATAATATAACATGACCCATATATCTTTGACCCAAATTTAATACGTTGTCATATTCCCTTCAGATTTTTTAGTGGAATAAAACAGTCGTTGTATATCACTTTCCCTTTCTTTTCAATCCATTCTCTCTCTTCTTCCTTAGAGATGACCAAAATTAACTTCATCTGTATTTTCCTGAGTACCTACATATCTCTGTATGTAGGAGTATTCAATAATATAAAAGTGTAATAATATATTTGTTGTGTGTTTCCAAATTATTCATAATGGTAGCATACCAGTTGAGAACTTGACATTAGTTTTAAGATTTACTTACCAGTTTAGCTTATTTTAACTGCTGTGTAACTTTTTCACTTTCTGTCTGTCCTCCCATCCTCCCAAGTTTCCCCCTTCCTCCCTATTTTCCTTCCTACCTTCCTTCCTTATTTTATTTTCGTACTGTGGTGCTGAGCATTGAACCCAGAGCCTGGGCATACTAACTAAGCAAGTGCTCTCCCACTGAGCCACACCCCAGCTCTGTAGAACTTTCTAATGACTGACTGCCTCATCATTTCTCTGAGGATCTTCCCAGTGTTTCCCCATTGCAGATGATGCTGCAGTTGACAGTCTCGTGCAAGCCTCGTGGGTCTACGTCACACCTGTCTTGTTCAGGTAATAATATGTGGTTCATAGGATACATGTATCTTCAACTTACTAGATGTTGCCAAATTGTTCTCTAGAGTGATTTCTCTACCATCTTGTCACTATTCTGTATTTTTCAGACTTTTGTATTTTTTCCAATCAGGTAAAGATAAAAGGGTGTTTCCTTGTTAAGACTGAACATAATTTCACAGTTTTATTGGCCCTGGGATTCTCCTCTTCTAAGAACAGTCCGTTCATTACTTTTGCCCGTTTTTTTTTCTTCCTTATTGCATTGTGTTTTTCACGTCCATTATTGAATTAAATTTTTGGAGGGGCTGAATGATGTTGTTTATTGCATTGCAGTGGGTAGGGGATCCCAAGCCCACTCCTGGGTTGGGTGATTTGCTGGGAGGCTCAGAAGACTCAGCCAGTGGCTTTACCACAGCAAGGATATTTTTGTAGCAAAAGGATACAAGACAAAATTAGCAAAGAGAAAAGGCACATTGGCAAAGTCCAGAGGAAACCAAGTGTAAGCTTCCAAGTGGAATCATACAATACATGCTTAACTCCCTCAGCATCAAACTGTGACATTGTGTGTGAGGTGTGGTCTTCCAGGGAAGCTCATTTGAGACTCAGAGACCAAGGAAGCTAGCTAGTCATATGTACCTTCTGCCTAGTAGGCTCCAAAATCCAGACTCCCAGAAGAAACGCTGGTATTCAGCATAAATATCAGTATTTATTCAAATAGTTTAGGCACACTGAGCCAGTCTTAGAAGTTCTGAGAATGGTAGGAATCCTCCTGAAATCCAAGTCCCCAGATGCCAACCAAGGACCAACCTTGCAGGCAGGCCTTTCAAGCTTACAATATTGACTGTTTTCCACAGATTAGGTTCATTTCAAATATCTTATTCCAATCAGTGTTTATATCATCTTTCATTCACACAGCAGTGATGTCTATTTTTCTTCAGTGCTTTATAATTTTAATGTCATACCTAAAATATAAAGTAGTTTCTTATTTTTTTTCTAGTAGTTTTAACACATTGCTTTTTATATTTGAGACTATAATCCAGTTGGAAATTATTTTGATATTTAATAGTGTTTGTGCCTCCCTTTGTCTTAGTTATTCTTGACTTTTATGACAAACTTGTTATTTCAAAAAAATCATGCTACTATTTCCTTTAGAATTACTGAGAATTTGTAGATTACTTTTAGGAGAATTCATAGCTTTAAAAATATTAGTCTTTCTGTCCAAAAACATGGATAGTTATTTATAGTTCTTCATTTTTTTCAGTTCTATTTTACTCTCTTTTGGTAAATGTTTCTGATTTTCTTTATAAAAGTATTAACATATTTGGTTAGGATTCTTCACAGAATAACCCAGGACTACATTTTGTTATTGTGAATAGATTGTTCTTTTATAGAAATGATATTTTATCATTGATTCCTTTTGATTTGTATGGAGTTTTACAAATCAGTGAGATATACAACAAAATGGACTCTGTTGTTAAGTTTAGGACTTTGTGGATTCTCTTGAATTTTCTGTGGAGACTATCATATTATCTATAATTTTGACCATTTGTCTCTTTATTTTCAATCCTTTTTCTTCTAATTGATTTTTCTTATCATAGTCTTCTAGCTAGGCTCTCTAAATACCATGTTGACAGGAGTAGTAATGGTTGGCAATCCTTATCACTTCCAAATTTCATAAGAATGCTTTTGTCATTTAACTATTAAATATGATGTTTGTTTTGTGATTATGGGTAGATACCCTTTATCTAATTAAGGAGTTTTTTTGGTCTCAGTTTGTTTACATTTTGAAATTTTATGAATAAGAATTGAATTTTATTAAATGCTTTCTATATGTCTATTGAGGTGATAATTTTTTCCTTTTTATGTTATTAGGGGAGCTACATAAGGCAATTTGCTAATGTTAAGTTATTATATTATTTCACTAAAGAGACTTTGGCCATAATTATTGTTCATATTATTTTTAATATATTGATAGTTTGCTTTACTAAAGTTTTGTTTAAGGGTTCCACATCTGTGTTCATGAGTGATTATGGCTTGTACTTTACTTTTCTTGTACTGTTCTTATCTGGTCTGATTATAGAATAATACTAGTATCATTGAATGACTTAGGAAAATATTTCCTCTTTTGTTACTTTCTCAAAGAATTTACCTATGATTGGATTGATAAAATTTGGTAGAATTTGCCTATAAACCCACTTATACATAGGGGTTATTTGTGTGTCAATTTTCAACCACTGATTAAAAAGATTATAGGCCTGTTTAGTTTTTTGATTTATTCTTAACTCATATATACAATTAATATATACTGCACATGGAATTTTAAGTCCTGCTTTTTTTCTTTAGCATTATGTAATTTCCTAGATCACTAATACTCATGGAGAAAATAACATTTAAAACACTTACTTTAACAATGGGTGTATTTATGACTAACTATATATCTAGAATTTTATATGATATACATATATAGTATACATAGAAAAGCATAATTAACTATGCGAGGCACATTGTAGACACACAATAGCTTCTGTTGGAGATTTGTGCTCAGAACAGCCCAGGTACTGTAACTTTCCAGAGCAAAAAGTTGGAATTTCCTCACTCTTTATGGGGTAAGGGTAAAGGCAATTCTATGAAAATGAACAAAGCAGGGGGGCTTTTCCTTTTGCTAAAGGAAAAATAACATTCTTTTTGATGATTTATTTTGGAAATGCATCCTGCCTGGACTGATGAGCTCAGATTTGGGGGCCTGAGCAATTTCTGTTGAAAGACATTTGTAGAGATTTCTATAACTGCTATAAAGATGGAAGGTTCTCAGTTCTGGGGAAAGAAAACCCAGGAATGAAATATGTTTTCTGCTTTTATGCTCAGTTCCTATGGCATAACATGTAATTTTTCTTGGTGCCCTGTGCCAGCTCAGTACTCTTTGCTGCCAGTGTATTCTCAAAGATGCTGTGTAGTGGGAACCACAGGAGCAGCTGCCCATTCGTGGGTTTATGCCATGTCTGCTTCAGATTAGAAACTGTGACCCCTTTAGGAACTTGGCGTGTGATATGGCAATTATGTGTTCTTAACAAAAACAAACATATTTCCTTTTTTGGGGGGTGGGTACTGGGGATCAAACCCTGGTCTTTGTGCTTGCCAATCATGCTCTGTACTACTGTGTTACATCCCCAGCCCCTATTTCTATTTTTTAAAAGTTCTAAACATTCTCTCTCTCCCATTTCTCCACTTGCCAAAATCAGAGATGTGTCCACCTTCACTGGAGCTAGTGTCCTTCAGAGAAGTCTCTGGAAACTCCTGTTGAGTCCTGATTGAAATTTTGTGAAACCTGTTTACGATGAAATCAGAAACATGGTCAGACTTGTGAATTCTCCTTTTAAGGAATTATTCCCAGAGGTGGGGGCACAGCTGTATGGTAGAACGTGTGTAGCAAGTACAAGACCCTAGGTTCAATCTCCAGCACCAATAAATAAAAAGCCCTCCCTGATCCTCACCCATTCTCCCTCAGAAGCACTTTGGGAACTCTGTTTGTTATTTGTATGTTTTCTTCTTGGTGCAATTACACAGCCTGTGACAACCCACTGCCCACATGTGAGCTGGCCCTGTGGCTCTGGTTGCACAGGATGGCTCAGAAGGCAGTGCTGCCCAGCTCTTTATGAGAACCAGTTTATGTTCTTCTGAGACATTCTTGTTCTGAGAATTTAGAAAAGAAAACAAACAAACAACAACAACAACAGCAAAATCTGAAGACATAGAGGTGCCCTTTTTTTCTCTTTAGCAAGATGGCACTGCAAATATTTTCTTTCTGTTTTTCTGCCCACAGAATAGCAGTTTCTAAATTGTTAGACACAGTGCTGCTTTGGTTTCACATAGCCCGTTTATTCATGGTTCTTAAGAGTTGTTGAGAATACTTCCTTGAGAAGTAGAAATGGAGATGCATAAAGAGATTAAACAAGTCTCTTAAAGTCATTCAAAGGGGATTTTGTTTGTTTGTTTTTGCTCTTGGTATCCTGTGGGTCCTCCCTCCTTCCTACCCCCTGTCCTGGAAAGCCTACTATCCATGTCTAATTGTGCAACCTAAGGCAAGCCATTTGACCTCTTAAGCACTCCATTTTTTTCATCTACAAAATCCAAGATCCTTTTCTCGTAATGGCCAGTGAATTTATGACACGATTTGGGCTCCCAGGATGTCACTGTTGCAGGCTAGGAGTATGACAAACAACATGGGATTTTACATGAAACCCTGATTTGACTTAATGCAACCTGGGTTCATGGCATGTCAACTGCCAAAGTGAAACTGACATACATAATTGTCTCATGATACTTGGAGCAGATGTTGAATGTTAAATTTGGGAGGACTTTCCCCAGTTCAGTAGCCACATTGTCCAGATGAGGAAACTGAGGCCAGTGTTAGTTCTCAAGGTTACAGGGATGAGGTTAATTGTCTTTGTTCCTGGGCAGTATTTTTCAGTCTTTACAACTTTTTGAATCTTTGGTGATGTTGGCTGACCTTTTATAGGACTCATGTGGGGTCGACAGATTATATCCTTCATCTCCAGTAAATTCTTGTCCTTATTGAGTTGCTTATTAGTGCTTCTCATTCTTCACACATTCTGTGGAGGTGAGTTAAGAGCTTCCCAGGCTTGGGGTCCTGAGGAGCTTGACAGGGCTGCTGTTCTAGGTGACGCTGGATAGGTCATCCTCCTTGTTTTATTTTCATTTCCTCCTGATGATCATCACCCATAGTGTTGATTGAGTAACTCAACATGAAGCCCCAGCATCCACAGCTTTAAGATTGTCTATGAGCTGCTGTCCATCTCAACGGGAGGCAAGACCAACACATGAGAGATGAACAGTACCCTAAGCCAGTCCTGTCCAGATATGAACTGCAGGTGTCAAAGTGCATGGGGGAGGAGTCTCTGGTTTCTCTCCAAAACTGAAGCCAGGGCCCATTTTTGACCTGTGCTGCTCACCAGGCTTCCTTTCCTGAATGCTGCGGGAAAATGGCAGTATTAGCATTGGCGTAGGATCAAAGCTCTTTCCTCTCTAACCTATAGAAACGAGCAGGTAAACAAATGGGAGCCATAAAATAGAGGCTACAGTGAAAGTTTGTCTTACCGTGATTAGCAGCTGGCTTCTTTCCAAATTCCACCTGCTCTGTGTGGCGCTGTGGTGTCTCATTCCAAGTGTCTTCTCACAGTGTCTGACCCAGGGCCTTGGGTAACAATACACCAGTGTGTGCCAAGGATAACAATGGCAGAGCTACAGAAGCAAAGCATTAAGGACAGCATGAAATCAGAACAAGCAGAGCCCGCGGGGTGGGGGGTGGTGAGAACCAGAGACTGCAAGGCAGAGGCCGCTGGTGAGGGCTGCTGACTCACCAGGTTGGCTGGGAGGTGACCTAACCTGCCTCTGCTCTGGTTTCCCTGTGTGTGAACCCTCTTTCATATTTGGCATGCTGATCAGCCAGCTGGCATGAAAAGTAAAAGCAAGACTACCTGGGAATCACAGATGCCCCTAGTGTTGTGCAACAGAGGAGCTCCAGATTTCTGCAACGGTCCCCAGGGCCAAGCCTACCCAGTCCCAAGGTGTGTGTGTGTGTATGATCTTTGAGTGATTGAAACAGTAGTGGAGCCAAAGATGTTTGACCTCTGGTTGTGCCACTAACCAGCTGGGTTTGGGGACATTACACAGTTGTCCTAAGTCTTGCTGTGTTTATCACTGAAAGAAGAGGCAGAGTGAATGATTCACTAAGCTCTTTCCCAGCTCACTATTTTTTTTTTTTTTTTGGTGGTGGTGCTAGATATGGAACCCAGGCTCTTGAACATGATAGGCAAGTGCTCTGTCACTGAGTCAAACCCCAGCCCTGCCAGCTCACTTTTACTATTGTGTGTCACTTGGAGCCCAGCCCCAATCAGTGTGTGCCTCGGCGATGTGAAAGGTGGTGCATGATCTCAAATGTCCCTTCTTTCTGGGTTGCTGCCACATCCCTTCCCATTGGGCAAGTGAAGGCTGGGCAGCTGTTACTGGGCAGGATTGTTGGGGCCAATGTCTTTGAACATAAATATCCTCACCTGTCATGACTCTAGAGAATGAGACCCAAAGAAATGAGCACATTTGAGATAAAAGAATAGGGAAGCAAGACCAGGGCCCTAGTCATGGCTGAACATCACCTCCTGATAATAATCCCCCTGGCATGTTGAGAAGCATTTTACCATGTTGATAATAACTGGAAAAAAAAAATCTCTTTAAAAAGGGTGAGTTTTTCCTCTATTGAGTATTCTTGAAGTGTAGCAGACCTGTGGGACTGTGCCATGGGGTTGGTGGTTATTGATATCTGGGAGGTGAAGGGACATACCTCCTGTTGCTATCTTGGGGGGTGGTTTAGGGTGGGGGGAGGGCCTCACAAACCAGGAAAGAACAGAAAATTATGAAGCATTGTCAAGTTGACTTGTGAGAAATTGGGCTCTCCTGGTGGGTGGGGGACCTGCCCCTCTTGTGCTTCCCATGGAATTTGGTAGATGCTTGGTCTTCAGAGTCCAGGAACCATGCCAGTTAATTTGTAAATGTGCAGCACTCTCGGTCCATTCTGTCACTGAAGAACACAATGTGATTCAGGACAGTGCAGCACTGAGATTGGGAGTGTGGCCAGGCCCATCTCAGGTACATGGAGATTTCTCAGCTTTTCTGTTGACTTACTATGTGACTCAGGGCAGGCCACCTAACTTCTCTGGAAATGAATACCTTGCACACACACTCTAGGCCTTGGAAGGAATAACTGATAGATGAATTTTGACACTTTGTAAACATAATGTGTCTAATTTCAGTCTTTCTAGAGATGTGCCAACTTTTGAGCCTTGTATACTGATTGGCTCAGTCTTCCATACCACCTGGTGGAACTTCCTTCCTTTGAAGGGCAGGAAAAGGGAAGTTCTTCTCACACATCAGTTACCTTCTGCCGAGTGTAAAAAGTCCTGCTGTGATCTGTGTCACTTGTACTGGGGCTTGGGTGGGGCAAGTGCTCAACCTTGACAGACACAGAGCCGGGCTCCTGATTGCAGATACACATCATTTAATTCATTGTCCTCAGATGCAACGTATTTGTTATTAGATTATTAGTTCAATAACTATCTTGTCTCCTGCTTTCTTAAATCTTCCACTTCCTTAGCATAGGACTGTGAACATAGCTCTCCATAAATGCTTGTTGATGAGATCTCAATCAACCCTTGAATTTCTTGATGACTCTTTCCATGCAAACTCTGAAATTTGGGAGCCACCAATGACTTCTGAATCTATCATGGAAATAATTTCTCTCCACAAGAGCTTGCCTCATGCTCCTTTGGTCATTGATAAGTGTTGTCAACATTTTTCAAATATCTTGTCTGTACTGGGGCATGAAATATATCAGGTGGGGTACATTATTACCACTGCTTCCCTCGCTGACAGACAGATTTGGCATGTCTTTGCATTTGTCTTTGGAGAGCCTTTCCTCATATGTAACATATACACCGGAAAGCACAGGAATCACTGTTGTAAAGAGCACAGGGGACAGCCACCTATCAAAGCAACTGTCTGAAGAGAAGACCAGGAACTGCTAAGTCTGATTACTTGTAATTTAACTTTGTATACAGTTTTATTTTCTTGGTGACAGCTACTTTTGTTTAACTTGCTCATTGACTCCTAAGAGACACAGGAAGACATAGGGAAGGTCTCTTAAACATCTGCCTGGGCTTCACTTTTTAATTTCTTTTCCAGGTAGAGTCTCCAGTGAGGGGGTTATTTTCTAATGGGACTCCTCAGGAGTCTGTTTCTGGAAGTAGAATGGAATTTCTAGAAGGATGAAAGACAGATGTTTGTTTCACAGAGCAGGTTGGGATATTCACATACAACCTCAATGACGGTGACATTTCAACCAGTGTTTGGGGATTTATTAGGAGAACTTCATCCTCACTCTTTCTATACAGTCAGTCCTCTGTATCTGTATGTTTCACACTCATGGTTTGACCAACTCAGATCAAAAGTATTTGGGCTAGGTGCTGTGGTGCATGTCTATCATCCCAGCAAATTAGGAGGCTGAGGCAGGAGGATTGCATGTTCAACAACAATCTCAGCAACTTAGCGAGGCCCTGCAGCTTAGCCAGACCCTGTTTCAAAAAAAAAAAAAAAAAAAAAATAAGGTGTGTGTGGGGATTGCTGGGGATGTGGTTCTGTGGTTAAGCACCCTTGGGTTCAATCCCTAGTTAAAAAAAAAAAAAGGAAAAACATTACATCCATGGTGAACATGTGTGGACTATATGGACTATTATTTCCTAAACAAAACAGTACAACAACCATATACATAGCATTTACATTGTTTAGGTATTATAAATAAGCCAGCGATGATTTAAAGTACATGGGAGGAAGTATGTAACTTCTTTGCAAATGTTATGTCATTTTATATAAAGGACTTGAACATTCACAAATTTGGGGTCCTGGAACCAATTTGGCTTCTCTTTTTTTCCCAAATGAATTTTTAGGTGTCTCTTAGATGGGTTAGATGATGGATGCTTGACTATTTAAAAAAATCTTCTAAGATAATTCTTACCTTTTCTTAGGAAATGGGTCTTAGAAGTCACATGTCTCCCAAGGGGTCCGGGAAGCCTCATAGTCTGTAAACTCCTGGACCAATTAACCGGAGTTCCTGAGGGCAGGATGCAAATGAAATCAGAGGAGGGGGCTGCCTTTCATTTTTCCATCCCCATGCCTGACTCAGGGGCAGCACTCAGGGGGACGACTGTATACATGTGTTAAAGGACTTAGAACCATATCGGCATGTAATAAAAACTCCGCACATTTTCATTTGTTATTTCCACTATTATCATTTACTTGTATTCAGGGACTTATGGCAGGCAGCAGACAAGGATCATCATGACAAAGAAACTTCAAAAGCCTGTGTCAGATTTATAGGCCACTGCTTTTGTAACTGCAGAATGGTAGGAGGCACATTGATGGGGAGCCAGGACCCTCAGTAGTGAGGAGTGGACTGCTGCGCCTCTGCACCTGCTGCTTCCTCTCTGGTCTGCTCGTTCCCCTTGTCTGTGGATTTCCTTTACCCAGGGGTCGCATCCCTGGGGCTGGTTCACTCTGCAGAGAAGGCAGAGGGGAGGATATCTGAAGTTCCACCTCTGTCAAATGTGCCTCATGGAGCTTCAGTTTGGGCTTTGGCATTTCAGGACTTCCTCCTTTCTCTGCAGTCAGAATGTTAGCAGGGTCCCTGAGCTGATGTGCTTAGCGAGACAGACATCACTCAGAAACACACCACGAACTTTCCAGAGAGAAACACAGAGGCATTGCATTTCATGAACATGGCTGGATTCCTTAGCATGCGTGGAGGCCAGGAGTTAGGCTCCGGGTTGGGAAGATGAAAGGCAGGCAGCCCCTGTGCTGATTTCACTTGCATCTTGCCCTCAGGAACTCGGGTTAATTGGTCCAGGAGCTTATAGACTTCTAGGCTTCCTAGACCCCTGGGGAGACATGTGACTTTTAAGATTCATTTCCTTAAAAAAAAAAAAGGTAAGAATCGTCAGGGAAGATTCTCTTAGAGTCAAGCATCGGCCACTTAATCAATCTGGGAGATACCCAAAAATTTGGGAAAAAGGACAAGCACAATTAGTTAACAGATATCCAAATGCTGACTAACTGGTGGGGCTATGGAATGAGCTGACCTGGCCTTTTGTCCTTGTGTAGCCACGGTCTCTTGTGTGCCTGGCTCTCTTATGCTAAGACTTTTCCCTCAGGATCATCATCAATTTTTTTTCCAGTATTTAAATGATTAAACTCACAGATGGCAGCTTCTAAGTTATTATGCCACTGATTAAAGAATTGTTAAGGCAGATTTATTTCTCTAAATACAAACACATGCACAACTGAGATTTTGGCCAAAACTTTGCTAGATACAATAGTGTATTGTTTCTGTCTTCAAAATGTAGCCCATTATAGACTTGTGTTATAAAACAGCACTGCCTGGCATTTATATTGTGGTGTCTATCTCCAAAGAATTCTAAGCTTTTGACCACATTTTTAAAAAGCTACTCAGTCTCTCCAGTGTTTTTCTTTTCCATCCTTCCATCATCACCAGCATCCTTAGATGTGATAATGGACATAAAACCCTGCATACAGAGAATGCTTGCTGATTCTGATTTATCTTTCTTAGTCGCTCTAACAGATGTGTTCATGGTTGAATGTGGATGGTCCTTGCTCCACATCACTCCACCTTTCTTTTTTTTTGGCAGCAAGTAGGAGCTCACTGTGATCTCTTCATTGTTAATACTGTTTAACTGTTATTC